AGGGGTGGGACTTGCTTACAGCTGCCCGAGCGCCTCCAAAGGAGACCTAACGACTCAAGAGTAACTGCTTCGTGAATGAATATACTACCGGATCGGAATCGCCACCCGCTGAGAAGATCTGACGAGAAACTCAGCGGGCTGATGCTTAGGTTAGGTTGCACGTCGAACTCTTTGCCGAGTTCGACGAATACGGTTACCGGAGTTCCTAAGCCTGCTCCTAGTGTTAGAGCTGAAGGGGTCTAATGCAAAGGTTATTGGGTCTGATAGATGCGTAAGGAAGTGGAATTAACGATTTAAACTTTAAGCGCACTCAAAGAAAAAAAGGAAGAAGAAAACGTTGTTTACCTACAAATACTTTTTTACTGGTGGTAGGACCTCTTGTGAGTCCGCACGGGTAGGTACCACCGCCCCGCCTATTTCTGCCGTGAAGCAGTAATGCGTTTCGGTTTGAAGGGTGGGGCAGCCGTTGTGACAATACTGAGACTTTAGAATTATATCTCAAGGTGCGTGGCGCATTTACGTTGTAGATGTCTATGGGCTCCAGTAACCACTTAGCACCAGGTGGGCTGTGAGCTCGTCCACACATCTAAGCAATAAAAAATAAATAAAAAAGAACGCATTGTGTATAATATGGACACATCATGGACACATCAAGATCCCGAAGACCATAATTAATGAAAATCAACATGCCAGGCAATGGGCAGACACAGATATTAATCAGATTATTTTACAAAATATTTTTGAAATATTCCTGTTAACTATATAACATCAATGTGAATGTGTGTAACGGCCGTCGTTGTTATAGATTAGTTAAACACCGCCTCGGGGTGTGGGTATTGTGGAGAAGGTCAGCAAAAACGTGTGTGGGTTCTGCACAATAAAATTTCTCTATTTCTTTCAAGTCAAATATTAGTGTTAAAACATAAAGAAAGGAATATATAAGTTAAAATATACTTATTTATTGTTCGTTGCCTTAGGTAATACATCATGTGTATTAGATATAGTTGTCATTCGTAATCAATATTTAGACATAAGTAAATTATGTATATGGTTAGTCATAGAGCGTAATGTGGGCTCGCATGGACCGGTATCACCATTCTACCAATTACGGCTAAATCATAATTTGATCTAGTTTGAACAGTGGGGCAGCCGTTATAAAACGTAATTGAGACTTTGATCTAACGTCCAAGTTAGGTGTTGAAGATCCAATTATCTATCCAATTAGAACTATAAAAAAATATTCTAATTCCAAACAAGAATTGAATCTTAATTTGGTAGTTATAGTAACTAACCAACAAACCAGCGATCATTACAGCAAACCGTGGCGAGGATTCATTAGTAACACATCGAAATTCAATGTGGAACCTTAAAATGCTCGAAATGTCACTAGGTCATATTGGAACGTATCAAATATTGCGAGACAAAAGCACCGGGAATTCTCTAGGCATGAGCCGTCTTAGATTCGATGTAGGATTTTGATGCACCGTCGCAGCCTGCATACATCATTCAAATATTTAACCTTCACAATTGAGAATGCTTTCGAAAAATCAAACAGGTACGAAATAGGATCGTGAAGATTTCAATCATATCTACTCATTAACACGCTTTTATTAGCTTCATGTAACGGAATCAATGAACATGATTTTGACCCCCTTCAAAACGAAATTTGGTATACTTATTATGGACCGATAACAATTGAATATTTCAAAAAATTTGAAAAAATTTAAATTCAACTAAAAAATGAAAAATAAATAATAGTTCAAAAAAACTAACATAATACGCTTTTATAAAAAAATCAACTAAAAAATTGAAAGCGTGTGGTGCATGGTATCAGTAGTTATAAACATTTTATGAACAGATATGAGTAGAAGGGTTATTTTGATAATCTATATATTAATACGTGAAACAAAAACTTTGTACCCCTTTTTACGAATATTGCGCGGACGGAGGAATATGAAAATTCTCACATTTATAGAGAATATAGAGAAGGAGTGCACAATGCTAATATTTTTTTAAAATAATGCATAAAAGATACTTTAAATCAATAAAGAAAACATTACTCACACTGCCATGTATTTGACACAACACATACATAAAAATTAAACTCTTTGTTTACTGTCAATTGGGAAGCTTTTGCTATTGTTTACAGTCTGTGATCGAATTGAAAATAGATTAATATTATTGATCTATAGCGCAGTTTTGGCGAATACTGTGATTATATCATCGAATTTTAATAGTGTTTGATAATAGAACCATAATAATGTTTAAACTTATAATTTCAATTAGTTATAGTCGAATTTCGACACTGCAGGGCCACTAGTATCCTGAAAACCACCCCACGCTTTTTTTTATTTTTCATTTAAAACCTTACACCTGCAAATGCTCAGCTAGGTGGCAAGGGATATGCTAACAGCTGCCTGAGCGCCTACCGAAGATACCTAACAAGAGCAGCTGCTTCGCGATTGAATCTACTAACGTATCGGAATCGCAACCTCCTGAGAAGATCCAGTGAGACTTATTAGTATTAATAGGACGTACTAAAAATCCGCACGGGTAATTACTACCACTCTGCATAATTCAGCAGTAAGAAAATCTTGCGTTAGTACTTCAATGGTTCTTCGTGTTTCAATTTGGGCATTCTCGTCTATCGGCTGTGATAATACGTCAAAAATAAACAGGAAAATTCCTGTTCTAATTCTTCTCGTCCGCAAGCCTCGACAATTCGTTCCACGGATTCCCACCAACCAACGCAGATTAGATCACGATGCATTGAGTAATAAAACCTTCAGAGTTTATACGATTGTTTTGTACGTAAGACAAAAAAAGATTACTTAATGAATCGTCTCAAATTTACAGTTTGGTTCCGCTCAATATTAATAATTTGTAACAGTGATTTTATGTCGGGCTGATTGTTAAAAAGAATCATCAGTTATACAGTAAGACCTTGAAACATGAGTTCAATCATACAGCGGTTGCCCCACTGACACAGCTGACCTGTAGAGAGTACTTAACGGTAGGCAGTAGGTTGTCTTTGGCATTTCTGACGTCCATGGGCGACGACAGCCACTCACCATTAGGCGGGCCGTGTGCTTCGTCTGCCTACAAGCAGCAACAAAAAAACCTTCAACCTATCCATACCAAACCTTACAACACGACCTATCAATATTAGGTTTTATGTAAATCTTCAAAGTTTGCGGGTCTGATTTCGGAACTCCTTAGCGCACGTTTTGATCGCGATGCGTGTTAGACCGCAAAAGTGCAACAATGAAAAACGACACACATGATATATTTTTGCAGTAATCTTTGAGGTACTTTCCGATCTAAAACAATTTTGAAAATATAAAAAACCATTTTTAAGTTTTGTAAGAAAAAAAGATTTAATTGTAATATAATGTTTTTCACAAATATTCCAGAAATTTAACTACGATGCCAACTTTATTCGCGCTTATACACTATTCATGATTCGTTTGATTATTTTTTACGGACTATATCGTTTTATACAAACACAAAAAGTATATAACAACAGGAACTTCGTTCCAACCGGGTCTTTTTTATTACACGCTATATCTGTTGGCGGGATGCGGCAACCGGTAAAGTCACGTTGCTATGTTCAAATACACCTGGTATCTTCTGTTTGAAACTACGATGAATTTCAGATATTCTCATAATATAATGTATTTTATTGTCTTTTTTATTTCATTTTTATTGTTTAGATGGATGGACGATTTTACAGTCCACCTGGATTTAAGTGGTTACTGGAGCCCATAGACATCTATAACGTAAATGCGCCACCCACCTTGAGATATAAGTTCTAAGGTCTCAGCTATAGTTACAGTCTTAGTAGACAGACGAACATACAACCCACCTGATGGTTAGTGGTTACTATGGACGCCAACAAGGCCAGGAGTGCAGCCAAGACGTTGTCTACCACTAAGAATTCTCCAGGAACCTCGTTTGCAGAAAAACAGCAATCAGGAAACACCATAAAGGGGAGTTAATTCCAAAGCCAAATGTACGTGGCACAAATGCAATACACAGTGGTTTGAAGTAGAGAATTGATTAATAAATAAACTACTCTGATGGCAGGCGGTGCGGCGGTATAAATAATTTTACGCCGGTAAGAACAACGCCATCTATCATCGAATTGCAGAAACGAATATCAAAAGAACCAGTAAGATAGAGAACGCTCGAGAAGTGCAACGCCATCTATTATCGAATATCGGAAACACGTATCAAAACTACTCGACTTGTCAAGAATGTTCTCGATAAGTTTAGATATGTCGTATCGACTATAAAAGCATTGTGCATCGGAACTACTCGAAACGAAACAGCGAACGGATCACCTGAAGCGAAGCGGAAGAAGTGAACTGAGAATTTTAAAGTGTTCGTTAAGTGTTTTAAGTGTAAATAGAGTTTCAATCTGTACTTCGGTAGTGTTGAATAAATAAATTTATATAGTAGATCATAAAAGTATTTGTAAACGTTTTGGTAAAGATTATTCAAATTGATGTGTGTTATCTGTGCAACCTGTGCTAATCAATTCTGATGTGGCTTTAGAGCAAATATATTTTCATTGTGTCCTTTATAAGAAATCTGATTAGAGTTTTATTGAAATACTGCCAAATTCCAATAGGTAGAAGTTTTATTTATCCCGAACCCCAGCGCGTAACAATAATATATTAAGTGACTGCGTAATTTCCGTGATTACTGGTACGATGTCTTTTAATACCGCAAAACAAGCGCTCTAGCTTGGAGTTTGGAATGACCATAATGATTGCAATGTCTTGGTGATACTCACTTGGACGCTCATTAGAGTTCTCACTCGGTTACAAAGAAGCAAAGAGTTCGTCCACCATTTTAAAAAAGCAATTTTTTATCTACCCAGCTGACGCGTTAAAACGCAATAGGCAATGTGGTAAAACAAACAATTTGTTTACTTAGCTTTATTCTTTTTTTAACATAAATTAACCTTAAAACATTAATGATTTAAATATTAGCCTTCAATGATATCCGTGGTAAGCAGATTCTATTCTTTGACCTGAGATGACCTGGTGGTCTTGGACTTGACCTGGGTTGATTTGATGCTCGTCGATTTGACCTTGGGATGAATGGGGATTGTAGCTAGCAGCTCCGTAAGTAACTTCATGGTATTTACCTAGAAAAAATAATGATATCAGTATTTTAACTATTTTAATAATTCTGTGCCAATATGAAAATTTGAGTTGACCGGTTTGGAGGGTTGGAGAACTCTTAGACCTCATGTCTTTAGGTGACTAGTGATTTTCACTCACATGCAGTAACCAGTTAAGAACATGGGACATGGCCACAAAAATTGTGACGCTGATCTATGCAACAGTTTTAACGTGACTTCAATTTGCCAGTACAAAAGACTTCAACGCGGTAGTAATTTTATGTCCTAAAACATACTCAGATTTATGATTTACGAGAATTACTTTTCTATATATTCCGGTGCGGTACATCAATTTGATGTGTCATTCTGTGTGTCTATTTATTTATTCAGGTCAGGTTTACAGTTTGCATCAAAACGCCTAACTCGATAACACAACAAACATTATTAAAATTATGAATTACTATTATTATGATAAAAATAACATTATTTTAGACAAAAGTATTCCCCAACTATCGGCAAACAGGTCAACGTCCTGGATTTCGGACAGAAATTCGTTAAACAGAGCAATTGCCCTGGCCGTTGGACAGTTCCTAGCTCTCTCTATTAAAAAAGTCCTAACCGTCATCAAAAACACCAGCAGCTTCATCTCTCGCGTTTGTCTCCAAAGCCTTCAGGATGGCTTCTGGGATAGGCGGAGGCGTCGGTAGGTGAGCCCCTTCTGCCCTGAAGCCGTGCTCATCAGCAATGTAAGACACCTCGTAGACCTGACCGTCGTCACCCTTGTACGAGTAGGAGCCTTGGACTTTTTTCCCGGAACCCTCGTCTTGACCAACTTCTTGTGCTTTTATGCCTGAAAAAAGTTACAAGTAAGCTTAAGTAGATATTTTTACTGACTGTAGGGTGTTTTCTAAGCCCGTATGGATAGGTAACATCATCCTGCTTATTTCTGCCGTGAAGCAGGCATGCGTTCCGGTTTTAAGAGTGGAACAATTTTATATATAGGGGTGCTTCCACCCATATTTTTTAATTGCTATAAATAAATAATGGATTGCAATCCACCTGGCGCTAAGTGGCAACTGAAGTGCATAATTCTTATCTTTCTTATACCTTTAAACGAGCAATTTTTGTATATTATATATATATTATCTGAATCTCGGAAACGACTCCAACGATTTTCATAAAATTTAGTATATAGGGGATTTCGGGGGCGATAAATCGATTTAGCTACGAATTATTTTCAGAAAATGTTGTTTTAATCGTGTTTTCAATTTTCAACTTTATCGATTGACTCTTCCCGACATCTATTGGTGAATAATAATACTATTAAGCTATTTCAGCAGATGGCGTTGTTAAGCCACCCGAAGCCAATGAGTGTTTGGTTTGAGGTTAGACCAATAAAATGAATTGTTTATTTATATTATTTGTGTCTTTTTCATATAAAATTAAAAAAAATACCGAACAAAGCTCGGTCATCGTCTAGTATTATAATATCTACTACTTTTAATTTCAATTTTATTTCTTATTTTAAATAATACTCCAATGTGTTGCTCTGTACAACAAAGAAACGATAATTAAAGTCTAATATTTTAAGTCTTATTCTATTGTAATTGGGTTATGCAACTCTAAATACGAATCAATTTTACAAGAGTTTTTACTTCACTTGACGCTATATTCCACAACAACATCACCCCCGAACTCCATTACCAATAGCACAGGCAAATATCAAATCAAAGAACACTTTCTGTACAGAAATACTTAATAATAAGTGTCTTTACCCATCTACAAACCAGTGTGCGTAGTGCGAGTTTTTTAATATTCTTGATAGCGTAAAAGTTTTTTTATGTTATTTATTGCTTAGGTGGGTGGCTGAGCTCAGAGCTCACCGGGTGTTAAGTAATTACCGGAGGCCAAAGACATCTACAACGCAAATGCCGCCACCCACCTTGAGTTATAAGTTCTAAGGTCTCAGCATAGTTACAACGGCTATCCCGTCCTTCAAACCGAAACGCATTACTGCTTCACGGCAGAAATAGGCAAGGTAGTATCAAACATACATACAAATTTCAGTTACTGGTGGTAGGACCTGTTGTGAGTCCGCGCGGGTAGGTACCACCGCCCTGCCTATTTCTGCCGTGAAGCAGTAATGCGTTTCGATTTGAAGGGTGGGGCAGCCGTTGTAACTATACTGAGATCTTACAACTTATATCTCAAGGTGGGTGGCGCATTTACGTTGTAGATGTCTATGGGCTCCAGTAACCACTTAACACCAGGTGGGCTGTGAGCTCGTCCACCGATCTAAGCAATAAAAAAAAAGGTGGTGGTACCTACCTGTGCGGACTCACAAGAGGTCCTACCACCAGTAACTGAAATTTGTATGGAGTTGGAACAGCGCTCCTAGCGGTAAACGTAGGCAAACGTTCCTACTGCATTCAAATTTGAGTTAACTTTTACGCTATCGAGAACGTTCAAAAACTCGCACTCAGCACACTGAGGTCAGAGTCGGAATTGTATAGGATTAAGCCTGCCTACCGCTAAGTACTCTCCACAAGCCTCGTTTGAAGAAAGATATGTCATAGCGCTCGAGAAACATCGTGGAGGAGAGCTCATTCCAAAGCCGGATGATCCGTGGCAAAAAAGACCTAAGGAAACGCACTGTGGATGAACGCAGTGGCTTCAGGTAGTATGGATAGACTCTACTCCGGTGGCGGGTGGTGCGATGATAAAAAGGGGACGAGGGGATCATCTCAAACAATTCCTCAGAGCACTCCCCATGGAACATGCGGTACAAAATACAGAGGGAACCAAAGTCCCTCCACAGACCCAGAGGTTCCAAACGATCCATGAGAATGGGATTATCGACAATCCGAACAGCCCTTTTCTGTATGGAGTCAAATGGAAGAAGCTGGTAAATATATAGGCAAAGCTTCACAAATTAGTTAATCAGCAATATTAGTTACCATTTTCCGACTCGTAAGCATATTGATAGGCATGACCGTGGTTCTGGGACATGTAGCTCAGGATCCTAGCCTCCTTCTCCGGCTGGTGGTTAGGGACAAACGGCTGCGGATGATACGCGGGGTATTCCTGCTGATAGACTTCTGAAGGATAGTCGGGCTGAGTGAGGGCCTGGTCAACCAGCTGGTTTATGTAGACCTGGCCTGCTGATACCGCGGTAATTACCGTCACATATACTGCAACCTGGAGGAAGAATTTTAGTAATCATCACTGTCTGTATATGTTTTTAATTATAGTTGTTTGGTTGTGAAAGCATACAAGCATATTTAACGCGATTAACACTGTGTCTATGGGCTCCGGTACATACTTAATATCAGGTGCGCAGTAAGCTCGATCACCAGTCCATAAAGCTTTGCCTAAGACCAAATATACCCCAAAATTCTGTGAACAAAACATTCTATCGGTTACTTTATCTCTTTTTTAGTAGTGAAAGTAAACCCCACCGCTCACCAAATGTTAAGCGGTTTTAGAGCCTATAGACATCACATGAACTTTAATTCCCAATTATGTTTTGCTCAATAGGCTCACAGAAGAAATACGCAGGACGGGGCACCCCGGATGGGCTCAGAATTCAAACTACCAACAATATAAACTCGAAAACAATATAACGATTACTGTTTACCACCACCCTCATTTTCTTTGGTGAAAAATTTTATAAGCATCTTTGGGCCAGAGGGGTCGGAAGTGGTTACCACACAACATTCTGACACAACTCTTCCATTATCGAGATCTTCATGTTGAAGTTTATGAAATAGCCTAAAACAATTGTAACGTACACAATAAATATGTCTAATTTTAATTAAAATAATAATTAAACAAACCAATTTCATGATGAACGCCTTGGCTAGGAGATAATAGTCGAAATGCAAGAGAAATGATTTCACTTTCCTGTTTATATACAGAAGTTTTTACTTGCCAAAAATATCTTGTGTGGGTTTAGCGTCAGCGTACCGTAAATTTGAACTTGGGACATTTTTCATCAGATTTTTTTATGTAGTTAACCTCACTAATTTAATCTCTCGAATCTCATCGTGGCTTAATAGTCTATACATTTCCGATGGTAAGAATAGACTCTACTCTTGTGTTGAATGGTGTTAAGGTAAAAAAGAGATGACGGAATAACCTCAAGCAATTCCTCCGTTATGCCTTCGATTTGTTAAGTTAGTAAAAACTCTACTACCAGTGGTTTCTTTTGTTATTGCCCGTGTAGCCAGACGAGCATATGGCCCACCCGATGTTGAGTGGTTACCGTCGCCCATGGATGTCAGCAATGCCAGGGGTAGAGCCAAGCCGCTGCCTACTGCTTAATACTCTCCACGAACCTCGTTTGAAGATGGATATAAGGCGCTCGGGAAACACCGTGGAGAGGAGCTCATTCCAAAGCCGGATGGTACGTGGCAAAGAAAATCTTTGAAAACGCACTGTACTCTCATTTATTTGTATGTCCTAATATTTAAACCTAAAACTAATTCTTACTTATATACAGCTGCAAAATATAATGTTAACTCATTTTTGTTAGCCTGGATTGTATTTACCCATGTTTATAGAGAACATGACGTTTCCACGTAATTCTCATGAACTTCAAAATGCTTGATTAACTTAAAAAATTATATCAACTTCCTATTATAATACAATAATTTAATTAATTCGGCCCAAAACCCTGACAATGATCGTTAAGCTTTTTTAGACCATTTATATGTTTTCAATTCAAAAGTAAAAAACTAAAGACTAATTAATATTTTCAAATGTATAATATATCTTAAGTCCGCGTTATAAGTATTCTTTCTAGGAGGCTGAGCGCCGGGTGCGAGTGTATTATGAGGCGATGTTAAGTAACAATACGAGCACGAGCGCTGAGTTACTGGAGCGAATCACACGTAGCCTTTGTTAAATTAGTAGACATGGACATTATTTTATTTGCGAATTAAAAATCATGATTATCGAAGTATTCACAGCCGCTGCGAAAGATAGTACTAAAACAGCATTAACACGAAAAGCGCTTTATTTCTTTTTATTCAAATTAGTATTTTAGTTGTTCAAAGGTTTATGATTGACTAGCGACCCGCCCTCGCTTCGCTTCGGAAACATTAAAACACACATGAAACCAAAAAAATAAAATAAAAAAAAATAAAAAAAGTAGCCTATGTTCATCAGGGACAATGTCGGCTTCTAATGGAAAAAAATTTTTCAAATCGGTCCAGTAGTTTCGGAGCCTATTCGAAACAAACAAACAAACAAATCTTTCCTCTTTATAATATTAGTATAGATGATTTAGACAATGATCACCGCAGTCCGTGCTAAGCAGCTATGGTGACTGTTGTTTGTGTTATTTAAAAATACTCATATAACAGTAATAATGAAACACATTAATTAAGCTTAACAATGGGTGTACCTGCAGAGTACAATTTGGCAATTTTTAGAAAGCCCACTGTCCTTATCGTGTCCGCCTAAGCATACTATCATTCTGCCCATTTCTGCCGCAAAGTAGTACCGCATTCCGTTTTGAAAGGTGAGGCAGCCGCTATGCCATACAATAGAGACTTCCACCTCATATCTCAAGATGAGATCAGTATCTACAGTATATATAGTGTAGGACATAGAACCTCCTCCCTTTTGAAGTTGAAATAAATATCTATACTAGTTAAATATTCTAGCTACCTTATGTCTGTGCCCTCCTCCCGGGCCTGAGCGTAATATGTTACGCGGACGACACGTTGGTCGTGGCCCGGGGGGGGAGTTTTGCTGAGTCTGCCCGTCTTGCTACGGCTGGGGTGGCGCATGTCGTCGGCAAAATTAGGAGATTGGGCCTCGACGTGGCGCTCAGTAAATCCGAGGCCATGTGGTTCCACAGGCCCCGGAGAGTGCCACCTATCGATGCCCATATCGTGGTTGGAGGCGTCCGTATCGGGGTCGGGGTGCAGTTGAAGTACCTCGGCCTCATTCTGGACAGTCGTTGGACCTTCCGTGCTCACTTTCAGAACCTGGTCCCTCGTTTGTTGGGGGTGGCCGGCGCGCTAAGCCGGCTTCTGCCCAACGTNCGGTTCCTTTATCATCTCGCTTTTAATGATAATAAGTGTCACCAACTGAAATCATATAAGGAACGCCTTTCGTTCTATCGGATCCAGTCATTAAGCACACGACGTAAAGCAGCTGATATTGTGTTCCTTTACAAGCTTATACACAGCATAATAGACTCACCAGAAATACTTGAACGTATTCACTTAAGCGTACCGCGCTTGGGCAGCCGTTTATGTAATCGGAAAACTTTCCACCTACCAAAAATCAAAAGTAATCTTGGCCAGCACTCTCCTGTTTATCGTATGACTTCCCTGGCAAATAGTATACGTGATGAAATTGACATATTTGTTTGCCATGCTTCTCTAGCCTCACTTAAAATAAATTTAAGTTCCGTGATCCACACCGAGCTGTAGACCAACCACATTTATTTTTATTTATATAGAACATTAATTTCCCTCTTTTAATTTTTGATTTTCATAGTTCTTTTTTTTTTTTTGTAAGTTTGTATATGCAGTTTTTTGTTTTCTTTGTCTTAATTTAATATTAGTTAACGATATTTTTATCTTAAGCACAAACGCTCTTAAGCAAGATGTGTTCACACCCAAAAGGGTGAATTCGATAATGTATTATTTTATGAAAATAAGTTCAATGTTTATGTGTGCAGTTTTCATCCAGTTGTGTGAACCTAAAAAAATAAAAAAAAATATAAGTTCTAAGGTCTCAAATATAGTTACAACGGCTGCCTCACCCTTCAAACCGAAACGCATTACTGCTTCACGGCAGAAATAGGCAGGGTGGTGGTCCCCACCCGCCCGGACTTAAAAGAGGTCCTGCCACCAGTAATTATGCAAATTATAATTTTGCGGGTTTAATTTTTACTACACGATATTATTCCTTCACCGTGGAAGTCAATCGTGAACATTTGTTAAGTACGTATTTCATTAGAAAAATTGGTACCTGCCTGCGGGATTCGAACACCGGTGCACCGCTCAAAACGAATGCACCGGACGTCTTATCTGTTAGGCCATGATGCCTTCAGCTCAAACACTAGAAACAGGTCTAGGGACTGTAGTACTCATCCTCGTCGAACTCGGCCAAGAGCTCGACGTGCAATCTAACCCATGCATCAGCCCGCTGAGTTTCTCGCCGGATCTTCTCAACGGGTCGCGATTCCGATCCGGTAGTAGATTCATTCGCGAAGCAGCTGTCCTTGAGTTGTTAGGTCTCCTTTGGATGCGCTCAGGCAGTTTTTAGTAAATCCCATCCCCCCTGGCTGAGCCTTTACTTTTCCACCTGTCCTGATGAAACTGAAAAGGCGTCCGGGTCACATGTAATCCTTCCTTCACAAAAAAGTTTGTCAACCCTAACGCAAGGGCAGAAGTTCGGAGATTAACTTTTTTTTTTTTATGATTGAAGGATTACTGGTGGCCCGGAGGCCTTTCCAGTTTCACCAGGACAGGTGGGCGAGCAAAGGCTCAGCCAGGAGGGGTGGGATTTGCTAACAGCTACCCGAGCGCCTCCGAAGGAGACCTAACAACTCAAGAGTAGCTGCATCGCGAATGAATCTACTACCGGATCGGAATCGCGACCCGCTGAGNTGTAAATTAGCAATGCAAACAAATTGTTTTGGTTGACCCTCCGAGCACTAAATTTAATGTTTAATGAAATCTGAGATAACAGTTCAGGCGAATCCAACAGAGAGTGAATTATCTTATATAAGTATATCAGATCAGTGCATGTACGTCGATCTTCTAGTGACTGCATGTTATAGTTTAATAGTCTTTGATCGTATTTAAGTTCAGAGCGGCCTGGTTGGCCTGTTTTCAGTCACTTTGTGAGGTTAGCTCTATTTTAAACCTAAATCCGTGTTATTAATCATTTTAGATTACAGATTCAAATGTTTTAACGATTTATCTAATGACTTTTGCATGCAAAAATCCTCGATGTCAAATTGCTAAGAATGAAACCAGTGTAGCCGTATCTATGACAATTCATAACTCTATGTAAATTACCGAATAAAGCTTGCGTCTAATGTGATTAGAAACTCATCTTAATTCAGTTTCGTTTGCTACCGGAGCCAGAGGGACTTGTGTTTAGAGTATTTTGCTCGTGGACATCAAAAATGCCAAGGACACAGCCAACACAGTGACTACCACTGATAGCAGGCATTTCCTTGAGGTCTCGAATGTAATTTGACAATTCTACAAAATTTGAACTCCCTCCAAAACCCAACAATCCCATTTTTACTGGTTAGCCATCGGAGCACCGTGGTTCGTGAGGAACGTCGACCTACACGAGCACCCGGGTCTTGAGTCAACCCGAAAACACCTGACATCAGCGTCGGAACGGTACTTTGATTAGCCTATGCGTCATGATAATCGCCTTATCGTTTGCCCTAGAGACGTCCTTACGGATCCAAAACTTTTTTTTATTGCTTAGATGGGTGGACGATCTCACAGCCCACTTGGTGTTAAGTGGTTACTGGAGCCCATAGGTATCCACAACGTAAATGCGCCACCCACCTTGAGATATAACCGCTCGCAACCGCTCGCAATTGGTAAACATTCAAGGGTTTAAATCTAGAGTGCACATGGTCCCATCAGGGGTCCCTCAAGGGTCTCATCTCGGTCCTTTCTTTTTCCTAGTCTACATCAATAACATTAAGCATGTCATCCAATCTAAGTTTAAATTATATGCTGATGACTTAAAAGTGTATCG